GAGTAAGCATCTTTTAATTTCAGGGCTGCAATCACCATCTCCAGTGATTTTGGAGCCCAAAAAATTAAAGTCAGCCAGTATTTCCCCATCTATTTGCCATGAAGTGATGGGACTGGATGCCATGATCTTAGTTTTCTGAATGTTGAGTTTTAAGCCAACGTTTTCACTCTCCTCTTTCACTTTCATCAAGAGGCTCTTTAGCTATTCTTCACTTTCTGCCATAAGGGGGGTGTCATCTGCATATCTGAGGTTATTGATATTTCTCCTGGCAATCTTGATTCCAACTTCTGCTTCCTCCAGCCCAGCATTTCTCATGATGTACTCTGCATATAAGTTAAATAAGCAGGGTGACAATATACAGCCTTGACGTACTCCTTTTCCTATTTGGAACCAGTCTGTTTTTCCATGTCCAGTTGAACTGTTGCTTCCTGACCTGTATACAGGTTTCTCAAGAGGCAGGTCAGGTGGTCTGGTATTCCCCTCTCTTTCAGAATTTTCCACAGTTTACTGTGATCCACACAGTCAAAGGCTTTGGCACAGTCAGTAATGCAAAAAATAGATGTTTTTCTGGAACTCGCTTGCTTTTTCGATGATCCAATGGATGTCGGCAATTTGATCTCTGGTTCCTTTGCCTTTTCTAAAACCAGCTTGAACATATGAAAGTTCACAGTTCATGTACTGTTGAAGCCTGGCTTGGAGAATTTTGAGTATTACTTTACTAGCGTGTGAGATGAGTGCAGTTGTGCGGTAGTTTGAGCATTCTTTGGCATTCCCCTTCTTTGGGATTGGAATGAAAACTGGCCTTTTCCAGTCCTGTGGCCACTGCTGAGTTTTCCAAATTTGCTGGCATATTGAGTATACTTCCACAGCATCATTTTCAGGATCTGAAATAGCTCAACTGGAATTCCATCACCTCCACTAGCTTTGTTCGTAGTGATGCTTCCTAAGGCCCACTTGACTTCACATTCCAGGATGTAAACCCAACTGCTCCAAAAAGCCACACCATGGCACCGAATGCCCGAGGCTTCAGCCACCAGACCAGAAGGGCAGCACACAGGGCAATGAGGCAAAAGAGAACCCCACAACTGAATGAAAACACTAATGTACACACAGGGACCACAATAACAACATCCTCTGTGGCAGCAATTCAGAAGGTCACCAAGGAGGAGATGGGAGAAAAGAATGAAAAGACCAAGTTTCCACAATGAGATATGTGCTACAGTATTTTATAGAGTCTGTGTTAAATCAGGGGAGAAGAAGCATCTTAACAATACATGAGGCGAAAGCACATAAATTTGAAAAGAGGAAATAATCAGCTGGAACTAATAATTGTCACCACATGTCAAAGCGGCTCACATCCTCTTAAGTAAAAAGGCCCGAGGGAACTCCCTGGTGGTCCAGGGGTTAGGACTCAGGCTTTTACTGCCAAGGGCCCAGGTTCAGTCCCTTGTCAGGGAACTAAGATCCTGCAAGTGGTGCAGCTGAACCCGCTTCCGGTCTCCCTGCACGCCCCTCGCCCCGGCCTGCGGCCCCCTCCGGAGCGCGGTGGACCCTCCTCTGCCCCGCCCCACCAGAGGCGAAGACCTCTGAGAACACCAATGCGTTCAGTCCCACTGGCCCCACCGCCCACCATGACTTTGTCCTGGAGATGCTGACCTTCACCAGAGGGGTGAGGTCAGGCATGGAGCCAGCTCAACCCTCCCCCACATGAAGCCGAAGGGGCTCAAGGTTGCCAGCAGCACCTTCTCATCGCCCCCCGCAATGGTCAGTCACAGGGGACCCTGCCAGGGTCTACACCCAGCTGGGAAGCCGAGCCGTACAGACTGAAGAGACCAAGGCCAGCGGGGCACCCTGTTCCCAGATGGTCCAGACCACCCGAGCGCGCTTCACCTTGAACTTCTGCTGCCAAGATGACACCTGCTGCTCAACAGGCGGACCTGACCTCCAGTGGCCCACTCACAGCCTCGAGCACCTTCTCACCTTTGGACCAGCTCCAGGGTCAGAGCGCGCTCTGGCTGCCGGTCCAGAGCTAAGCCACGCCTATCTCCACTGGCTCGGGCATCACTTTGGGCACAGCTGCCAGAGGCAGAGCTGGCCCAGCCCTGGAGCCCGCCCACCAGGCCAGCTCCAGCTGACTTCCCGAGGAGCGCTGCCCACCAGCACGGCACCCTGTCCACCACCCAGGCCCTGTCCTCTGTGCACCTCCCCAGCAGTTTCCCGGGTGCAGGTCACACGGTCCCTGGGTGTGCCATGGACACCCCAGAGCACCACTCACCCAGCGGGTGTGACCACCGCGGAGCTGGCCCCTCCATCAGTCACCAGGTCCCCCCAGCACAGACTCCAGGACCAGGGACAGCTCCCACCCGCGGCCAGGCCCAGCTCAGGCGGCGCGGACCTCAGCCGTGGGGACGCTGCCCTGCGCTGCGTGAGCACGTGCCAGCTCCTCCACCCTGCAGCGTGTCACGACAATGGGAGCTGTGGCCCCGAGTCCCCTGATGTCCAGGAAAACAAGGTGAATATGCCACCCCCCTCCCCAAACAGCTTTTCCTAGCTCTTCCTTCCGGCGACCAGTCTCCCCCTCCACACCACAGAAGTGGCCAAGAGGCCCCCAGTGTTGGATGTTGGCATGGGGCGCCCTGCAGAGTCCAGGGCATCTGCTGCCCTCGCCATCCGTGGGTTCTGGGAGTCGACCCCGTCATCCCCCGGGACCTCGGGCCTCCACGGGGCCTCCAGCAGCACCTGGCCTTCAGCTGCCCGCAAGTCCATGGAGCCCCGGGCATACGAGCGCTGGGTCTCGGGGACCGCAGCCCAGCCCCTCGCTGAGGCTCTCCATCCGGCAGGTGGACGACGCTGCATCATCCATGTCAGCCTGGACGTGAGAACACAACACGGACAAGAGCTTCGTGCCGACTGGGAGGGCAATGCCTCAGCCCCCTCACTCACACGTCCCTGGGTACAGACCTCTGCTGAATGGCCGCCTTGACGAGAGGCCACCTGCGGACCCTCCGGGCAGCGGGCCCCACCCTGAGATGAGGCAGACGACCACCACAGCCCCCACTGTGCACAGGGGGAAACTGAGGCGGCCTCCTCCTCCTGGCAGGTTATCGGAGACCCATGCTTGGGGGGCATAGTTAATGTGGCCTCCATGCGCCCTCCAATCTAGGGTGCTGCGGATCTGACAGGACAGCCGCCTCATGTCCTGTCCCCCACACAACCTGCGGTGACCTCCGACCCCTGGCCCCCCACACTCAGAGCCCTGTGCGGTCTGGTCCACCCTCCCTCCTCGGGGAGCACCCCTCGCCCCACCCCAGCCTCCCCGCCGCCTTCCTCCCCCGGGGACCCTTCCAAGCCCCCGCTCAGAGCCCGCTGCCTGCAGCACCCCCTCCCCTCCCCCCCCAAATGACAGACTCACCACCAACCTCGTTCAGAGCCATCTCCAAGGCTCTGTGCTGGAACCGATCTGGGGGTCAGAATGACCTGGATTCAAACCTATAGCAGGACCACGTCCCAGCCCTGCGAAGGCCAGCTCCTGTGGCGACTCCCAGAGCCTCAGTTTCCTCCACTGAGGATGGAGTCAGTGACTGCGACCTCGGGAGAGAGGGCTGGGATTTAAAGCAAGAAGACGAAGGCGCTCAACGTGCTGGGCCTTGTGCCCAGTGTCCTGCCATCAGACAAGGGGACAGGCTGCAGAGGAGGAGGGGCAGGGGCAGCCTGACCCCCATGCCCAGACCACCTCCAGCTCCAGTCCCGGGGAGTGGGCCAGGCCCTGGGCAGGACAGAGGGATGGAATCCAGGGACCAGGACGAAGGACACATTCCGGGTCTCTCTGGTGCCCAGGCCTTCCCAGCAAACAGCACAGGGCCCTGTGGCCCCGCCCGGCTCGGGTGGGGGCGGCCCCAGGCCTAACCGGACAAGGGAGTTCAGAACCAGAAGCAGAGACGCTGACCCTGGGGCCCACCGCTTGGACGGCCGTTATTGTCTGGCATCCCCGTGGTGAGCGGCGGGGGGCCGGGGTGGGGCTCTGCGCGTGCGCCATCGCTGGCTTGCAGTCGCCTCGCGCGGGGTCCACCCGCTTCAAGCCGTTGGTGGGAGGCCCGCGCATGCCCAGAGTGCTCCCTCGCCAAACCCACCCGGGAGCCAGGAGCTGGGCTAACAGCATCTCCTCCAAATACTTCTAATGAGGCAGTTGGCAAACTGAGGCCAGAGAGGCGGGAACTGGCCTGAGGCCAGGACGGTGGGCCGAGTCCAGAGGAGCTGGGAGGTTTGCACCTCCTAGGTATGGGATCAACCGTCCTGGGGAGGGGTTTGCTTTGGAAATGAGAAACTCTAAGATCCTGGAGCTGCCCACCGCTTCCCGTTTGGGGCCCTTTCCCCTGGGTATCGCCATGCAAACGCAGATGCTGGAGCGTGCGCACACGCGCACACACACACGCTCACACACTCTCACACTGGCACTCTCTCACTGCCCTGTTAGGGGCTCAGAGGGGACTGAACACTAGGGAGAGGACGAGAGAAAAAAAAAGGAAAGCGATTGTGGTTTTGAGAAAGCTCTGCCACAGGGGCAGGGGCTTCCAGTCTCCTCCAGTCTCTTGACAGCAGGCCTAGGCTCATAGCATGATGAAGGGAGAGATGCCAGACTGATGGAAGGGGGTCCCCGAGGTGCCCAGAGGTTTGTCCTGCATCCTAGAGACCACCCGCTCAGCCCACTTGTCTGCAAATGCTGGAGGCAGCAACATGTTCTCCCGCTGAGGCTCAGCATCCGAGGCTCTGGCCTCAGCAAAGCCCGCCCTGAGAGCCTTTTCTAAAGCTGCAGACCTTGGCTCCGTCTGCAGCCCAGATGCCTCGGGGTGTTGGCCTGGAGGCAGCCAGAGGTGACACGGAGGACCAGGGCAGGCCACCGCTCTGAGCCCTCCGGGGCAGTCCCGTGTCCCCTGCGCCTGCCATGTGCATGCATGGAAGGGAAGGGGAGAAGGGGCTCATGTCGGAGCAGGAGCAGGCTGATGAGGGGTCAGAAGGCTGGTGGGCTGGTCATGTTCACCTCCCAACTCAATGCCGGTGAGCTGTCTGGGGAGACCTGCTCAGAAGCCACTCAGGAATCCACCCAGGGTTCCACCAAGGCTTTGCCTCTTGAGTGGCCATCGTCCCAACCCAAGGAGTCTGGGCACCTCCCTTCCTCCCCTCCCACCATCCGGCCCCTACCCTGGCCAGGCACATAGTCGGTTTTCACGTCTTTGTAAGATTCTTCAAGGCAATTCCTTTATTGGAAATGAATTTCAGGGTAGGAACGTGAGTGTTTTTGCACTGTTTGTTTTTTCGAACTTCCCCTCTTTGTCTGAAAATTAGCCCCGTGTGAAAAATGGATCCGCCCTGAACCTGGATGAGCTCCTCAGGGTGAGGGTGGTCACAGCAGACCCCCTGGAGAAGCTGCGGGAGCACCTGGTGCCCGCCTTCTGGGGCAGCGAGCTCTCCCACGTCACCAGCTTCCTGTGCGCCTACCGAGCCTTCACCCCCACCCAGCAGGTCCTGCTGTTCAAGAGGTGAGCGCCCCACCCCTCCCTGGCACGCTGGCTCCCTGCCCACCTACCTGCTGTGTGTCTTGGGAGTGTCGCTTTGCCTCTCTGAGCCTGAGTTTGTTCACATGAAAGCTGGGCTACCAAGAGGCCCGACCTAATAGGGTTGTCAGGACCATCAGATAAGTGTGGACTGCGCGGCCCCGCGCCCGGCCCTGTGAAAAGGGCTGCTGAGGGGTGGGATGGTTCTCTTTAAGGTTTTCTTCCCTGCTCCCCACCCCCCATGAAGCAGCTCTCTGCTTCCAGCCCTTGGGCAGAGGCATCTTCCAATTTGTAAAGGAAGTTCAGGATCCTGTCTCCGGGTCCCCACCTGGGATTCGCCAGAGAAGGGATCGCTGGGGGCTGGCAGAGGGCCCCGGGCCACTCAAGTATCTGCAAGGTGCTGGTTGGGATTCATTCATTCAGCAAATCTGTATCCAGCACCTACTGTGTGCAGAGCAATGAGCAGGGCAGGCCAGCCCTCCCTGCCCTCCTTCAGTTCCCTTTGGGGGGGTGGTCAGAGTGAGGGTGGGGGGCCAAGAGTGGGGTGGGGGGCCCAGAGTGGAGGTGGGGGGCAGACAGGAGTGAGTCAGGCTCCCCCAGGAAGGGAGAGGTGGTCACCGTGGACAGAGGCCTCCCTCCTGCCGAGACTGCCCACCCCCCTGCCGACCAGGCCTTGGCCTCCAGATGGGTGGGGTGGGCCCAGAAGCCCAGCCCCTAGGGGTGCCGGGGAGGGCCGAGGGGAAGGAAAGGCCAAGCCCTTGACTCTGCTGCGCGCCCACCCCACCAGTGCCGTCTCCTCCATCCTGGGCACCTGGCTGGACCAGTACTCGGAGGACTTCTGTCAGCTCCCCGACTTCCCCTGCCTCAGGCAGCTGGTGGCCTACGTGCAGCTCAACATGCCCGGCTCCGACCTGGAGCGCCGGGCCCACCTCCTCCTGGCCCAGCTGGAGCACGCGGACCTCGGCGAGGCAGAGCCAGAGGGTGAGGAGGGCAGGGTGGGTGCTGGACTCAGGGGGGCACCCCCATGGCAGATCCGGAGGGTGAGGAGGTCGGGGTGGGCGCTGGACTTGGGGGGCGCCCCCACAGCAGCTTCTGGGCCAGGAGCAGAGACTGGCCTCAGACCGCCTGTGTGGGGACCGCCGTCAGGGACGATGTCCTCTTGTGGGTTTGGGGGCCGAGGCTTCTCTGGAAACCTCTGGGATGTGGTCCTGTCTTTGGAAAGGCAGGCGTGTGGGTGGTCTCTGCTCCCTCTGCAGCTCCAGCTTCATCTCCGGAATCAAAGGTGGCTGCAGCCTGCGTCCATCGGAGGAGCCAGGTGCACGGGCCAGGTGCACGGGCCAGGTGCACGGGCCAGGTGCACGGGCAGAGAGGTCAAGTCGGCCCCAGGGCCTGCGTCCGCCTTCAGCTCGAGTGCTCCCTCTACCGGCGGCTCCAGAGTGGCGCCGACACCAGCGCCGGTTCCATTAGCAGCTCCGCAGCAAGGCGAGGAGGCCACTCAGGTCCTCGCCGGGGCCAGCTCCCAGCCAGGACTTTTCTTCCCCTCCCCTGCGATGGGGCTTTCTGTCTTCAGTTCAGTCGCTCAGTTGTGTCCGACTCTTTGCAAACCCGTGGACTGCAGCACGCCAGGCGTCCCTGTCCATCACCAACTCCCAGAGTTTACCCAAACTGGTGTCCACTGAGTCGGTGATGCCATCCAACCATCTCATCCTCTGTCGTCCCCTTCTCCTCCCGCCTTCAATCTTTCCCAGCATCAGGGTCTTTTCCAGTGAGTCAGCTCTTCGCATCTTTTTGTCTTGGGGCTTCTTTTTTTCTGCTCTACACTCTTATATTTGATGATTTAGAATATCCAAATATAATAGAATTTCAGCCGGCATCATCTTGAATCGTACAGTTCATGAGCATTAAGTACCTTCACAATGCTGTATGGCCACCACTGCTCTCTCGGTGGAGAACCTTTCACTCCCTGAAAGGGAGCTCTGTGCCCAAAGCACTCACTCCCCTTTCCTCCCTCCTCCAGCCCCTGGCCACACCTAATCTGTTTCTTTATCTATTCTAGATATTTCCTATCAATGGAATCATATAGTAAATGTCTTTTTGTGTCTTCCTGCATCTTCGAAGAAAGACTAATTTTTGTTTTATGTCGTTATTTGAAAAAAAAATTTTGATTTGCAAGGGAAATCCCAGATGGATTAAAGCACTGTTAGGAAATTTGTGCGTAATTTCAGGATAGAGATCCCTGTACTGAGTGTGACACCAGAGTTAGAAGTCATAAAGAAAACAGCTGACCCTTCCTGTGGCAAAAACAAACCCCCCAAAATGCAGAAAGTGGAAAGATAAAATCACAACCTTGAATGGCATTCCTCATATCTGTGCTATCTGCTTAGTTGCTCAGGCATGTCCAACTCTTTGTGACTTCATGGACTGTAGCCCGCCAGGCTCCTCTGTCCATGGGATTCTCCAAGAAAGAATACTGGAGTGGGTTGCCATGCCCTCCTCCAGGGGATCTTCCGAACCCAGGGATCCAAGCCAGGTCTCCCGAATTTCGAGCAAATTCTTTACCATCTGAGCCACCAGGGAAACCCCCTCGTATCCCAGGGAAATGCTTAGCACCTCTGTGGTCCTGAAAACTCTGCAAAGTCCATGTTTTTAAAGGAGACAAAGAATAAACACATGCAACTCCAACAAGAGGCAACACACATGGTCAGTATACATCAGAGATGCCCAACCTCCCCAATAAGGACACGAGAATGTAAACATGTGGAGACAGTAGTGTCATCATCACTCTGGCAGGTTTCTAGTCTGGTGACAACCAGCCCTGGGGACAGCGTGAGGCCCAGCAGACCCCCTGGAGGGAGGTGTGGAAGGACACTCCTCTCTGCAGAACCGTGTGTGGGACCCCAAAGCTCCATAGGTGCATCGCTTTACCTGCAGAGCGACTCCTGGGACCTCATCCACAGGAATCCTCGCTTGGTTTTTCACAGATGCATTGTCAAGAGTCTCCATCAATGCACTGGTTGAAATAGCAGGGGAGGGGAGGGGATCCACCCAGGCGTGGTCCGCACGGACGAGTGAATGCCCTGTAGCTGCTAAAGTGGGTTCCGGCCAGGAGATCCCAGGGTGGTCTTACCTGAGACTCACATGGCCCAACCCTCTGCATCCAGGATCCCGGCTATGAGACCACATGGATGTGATGTCGACAGGGAGACACACACAGGGGTGAATGAATCTGTATGTGAGAGACGGAGATAGAAGGAGCGAGGCGGCGGAGGGATGCGCGTCAGCCACTCCCCGTGGTCTCTGCCTCTGCACGTGAGAGACGGGGAGCGGAGAGAGGCGGCGGAGAGGTGCGCGTCAAACCACTCACCAGGGTCACCGTTGAGGGTGGTCAGTGTCTTGTCTTCTCCTTGACTTGATGTTTCTGTGTTTTCTAATGTGTATATTGCTTTAATAATTCTAAGATTAAAAACCATTCTAAAGTTATTCTGTCACTCCTCTGTGGAGTAATATTATTTAGTGTTTTTTCTGTCTGTTTTTGGAGAGCATGATGCAATTGGGATCACAGTGGGACTGAGATGTACAACTAAGGAATGCCAGTGCTGTGGTCTTATTCTGTGGTGTTGGTTGCCAATTTTCCTCTTTCATTTTTGATTTTATTGATTCGAGCCCCCTCTCTTTTTCTTATGTTCATTTTGTTTAACTTTTGCTAAACGAATTTAAAGAACCAGCTCTTCGTTTCGCTGATCTTTTCTGTTGGGTTTTTATTTTCATTTCGTTTATTTTCCACTCTGATCTTTGTTGTTTTCTTCCTTCTACAAACTTTGGACTTCGACTATTCTTCCCTTTCTCATTTCTTGACGTGTAGAGTGTTTGAGATTTCTCTTATTTACTGACATAGGTATTTATCACTATGAACTTCCCTCTTTAGAACTGCTTTTGCTGCAGCCATAGTTTTTATTTCTAAAGTTGTTTTAAGAGGACAATAAATGTTTATTACAGTAAAATAGAGAATTATAAAGAGATTAAGAATCAAGGAAACCAAGTCCTTCTGCCTAGAAGGAGAGCCGTAACAGGAGGTGTCTGGTTCCAGCCCTTTCTGTTTGTGTGGGGGTTGGGGTCCCCTGAGAGTGTCACCGATGACAGGAGTTCTGGGGCGTGTGCTCGTCTGGAACCTGACTCCCCCAGGGCTGGACACCGGTCCATCAGTCCTCTCTCCTTTGTGTCCCCCATGGCCCAGATCAGAATTTCTGGGGAGCCCCCTGCTTTGGGACCTGAGGCCGTTCCGATTTTTCACTTCCATCGTCCTGCGGAAAGGAGCATCCTCACCCATAAATGTCTATTTACCACGGATCCACAGAAGCGGAGTTTTCTTTTTCCTAATGTAAAGGGGTTTAAGGTGTCGGCTGCACTTTTCCATGTCGGCGGTGTCTTGTCAACTTTGATCCCTGTTTAGGAAACCGGGGGTGCAGACTCTCCGGGGTGAGACCTTAGCGAGGCAGGAGGGGGAGGAGCTAGGAATGGAGGTGATGAAGGCGCCTGAACTGGCCCAGAAGGAAGGCCTCTGCACCAACCGCACCCGCCCCAGCCTGCCCTTCTCTCCTTCTCTGCTCCCTATCCTGACCCCCTCCCAGTCCCAGCACCTCCCCAGGCCCCCAAGCAAGCCTCGCCCCGAACACACCCCTGCCCCACCCCCAGGCTCTGCCCCTGATTCTTCTGTGAACTCCTTGGATCTACACCACTAAAATGACTGACCACTCAGTGCCCTGGAAACTGATACGCTGCCTACTAAGCGCACAGAGAGATGGGGTGGGTGGGGCACATTCCAGGGAGCTTCGGGGCAGCCCGGTTTGGTGGTTTGGGAGGGGAAGGAGGACCGGAGGCTCGCCATCCCTCCCTCCCTCCCACCTCTGGCCCCCAAGGCAGGTAGGGGTAGAATTGTGCCATAGCTGATGAAGAAGCTGACATTTAAAAAGACTTGCCCCTTCTGTGCCCTGTGGAGTGGCAGAGCCAGGATTTGACCCCAGTGCCTGTTAGACCCCTCAGGGCCCCACCTGACATTAAAGCTGCATCCAGATGCTACAGGAGGGACCTCTGGGCTCTGATGTTCCCTGAGCCGTTGGTCCTGGTGCCCAGAGAGGGAACCTTGTCCTCTGATGGGGATGGGCTGGTCTGGGTACTGGGAGAGCCTGCAGAGCCCAGGGCTGGTGGCCATTCCCCAGCCGTCATTCCCAGCCCGAGACAAAGAGATTAGCTTTGCCCCACACCCCTCAAGTTCAGAGAGGGCTGAGCCTGGGAGGGTGTGGCCCCCAGGGAAGCCAGGACTCTGGAGCTCCAAGACGCCACAGCCTGGGATAGTGGCTAGCGAAGAGCACAGGGTCCAAAGCCAGGGAGGCAGGGATCCTAGACCCAGCTCAGCCTTGTTCTAGCTCATGACCTCAGGCAAAACTCTGAGACTCAGTTTTCCCATCTGTGAAATGGCCTGCCTGATGGGTGATTTGGAGAATTACTCAAAAAATGACACATGGATCTCTTGCTCAGAGCCTAGAATGTGTTCAGAGGCCCCTGCCAGGCTCACAGTGGTCCAGCCGGGCCCAGGGTCCTTGATGTCCCTCCACAAGGGCCGCTCCTGCAGCCCTGCCCCCAGGAATAGGCAGCATTATGTGAAGAGGGTCCAGGAGGTCAGCACAGCGCAGGTGAAGGAGGCTCAGTGCTGGAAGGAACAGCTGGAAAGTCTCCGTTCTCCTGACTACCAGAACCAGCAAAGAATAAATCTAAAATTGACTGGATATTTGTGACACATTTTTTCTAACCAATAAGAGCATTTCAACACACATCTTCCAGGTCCTCCTAATTTTCCAAAGGGCCCTTTGATCCTCTGATTCTGAACCTTTCTCTTTGGGAACCTCCATTCCATCCTTGTCCCTGTCTCTTCTTCCACTTCTCAGGGCCTACCTGCCACCCGAATTCCTTCCTTGGCCTCATGCTTCTTTGGCCGGGTTTGGTTTCCACTCTGTAGCCGCCTGGCACGGTTCTCTGCCTCGGTTTATGTTTTCACGGGCCGCGTCCCCTCTGGGGCCTCGGTGATGCGGGCCTCTTGTCCCCTTCTTACAGGTGAGGAAGCCCACCTGTCCACTGCTCAAAGGCACAGTGTGGAGCTGCGGCTGTGCAATCGGGACTTGCAGGCAAATTGTTTGCTTGCAAATGAACCCAGGAGGCCCGGGGGAGGACAGGGGTAGGGGGGCCTGGGGGAGGGAGCGCTGTGGTGGCCATCAGCTCAGTCTAGTTGGGCAACCAGGTCCCAGTGCGACTGGCTCTGTCCCCCACAGGTGGAGGTCATCCCCAGGATATTAACACTCCACACTGCAGGCTGGCACTGATTTGCAGGATGCTCCCCAAGGCTGAGAGGAAGGACACAGGTGTTCCGGGCAGACTCTGTCAGCCTCTCGGGAACCGGTTCCCCCAGCTGCAGGTGCGTTCAGGTGGACGGCGTGAGCACAACAGCAGAATCAGCACCCCAGGTTTCCCAAATCCAAGCCCTCGAGCCTTTGCAGCAGGTCGCTGCACCCCGCTATGGCCTCAACATGTGAAGTCCCGTTGTTGGTCCTGCCGCAGCCTGCAGCCTGCTCGGCTTGCTGATTTCATTCTGTCCAGCCTAGGAGTGGGCACCACCACCGTGTGTAAACAAGGTTGCAAGCAAGGAGACCAAAGCTCAGACAGGGGAAGGGACAGCTCCAAAGTCGCTCTGGGAGCATGAGGTTGGATGCCGGCCTGGTCCAGGCCCGCTCCTGCTGCCCCTGCCATGCAGATACACCGGGAGCTTTGAAAGCTGGAAACCCCAGCACAGTGAGTGTCTGCCTCCCCTCTGTCACACAGGATCCTCCAGACACCTTCCCCCTCCTGCCAGGCCCTAAGCATCACATCCAGGAGACCAGGGCTGAAGATCTGGTCAGCCTAGTAGGACCCCAGCCTCCACAGGGGAAGAGGGCCTGCCCAAGAGCTGCTGGGGCCAGGCAGTGAAGGGATCCTAGAGCCTGCCTGGCTCAGAGAAGCTGGCTGGGTGAGATCACTGTCTGACGAGGCCCCGGGATAAAGGTGCATTGATCCTCCAGCTGCATTCATGTGGGCCCGGAGCTTGAGGGCAGACCTCCATCATCTGTACAAAAGCCTCTGAGCTGGGCACCACGGCTCCCCCTTGTTCTAAGTGGACACCGAGATGCTAAAACCCTCCCTGGCCTGGGAGTAGCAGCCCTGGGGCTAAAGCAGCCCTTGGGGCTTCCAGGGGGCACTAGTGGTAAAGAACCTGCCTGTCAACGCAAGAGACATAAAAGACGCAAGTTCAGTCTTTGGTTCGGGAAGATCCTCTGGAGGAGAGCATGGTAACCCACTCCAGTATTCCTGCCTGGAGAATCCCATGGACTGCCTGCCTGGTGGGCTACAGTGCATGGGGTCACCCAGAGTCATCCACAAACGAGGTGACTTGGCGTGCAGAACAGGCTGCATCCTCTGGTCCAAAGACACAAGCTTGCCCTTCCCTGCATCTCCTTCCCCATGACTGGCTTGGCCTCCACTTGGGGGACACCCGAGCAGGGGTGTCAGAACCCCAGGACCTGGAATACCTCAGTGTCCTGTTCCCTAGCCCAGCCTCATCTGGAACACACTTCACAAATGAAACAGTGCATGCACACACACACACAGACAGTCCACAAAACACTGGCTCTTCCTCGAAGAGCTGCCCTCTGATGCTTTCTTAAGATTTTTTTTTTCATGTGGACCATTTTTAAGGTCTTTATTGAATTTTTTTACAATATTGCTTATTTTATGTTTTGACTTTTTGACCACAAGGCATGTGGATCTTTTAAAAAATATTTTATTTATTTATTTGACTGCACAGGGTCTTAGTTGCAGCATGTGGGATCTAGTTCCTTGATCAGGGATTGAACCTGGGCCCCCTCAATTGGGAGTCTTAGCCACTGGCCCAAGGAAGTTCCAGCATGTGGGAGCTCAGCTCACTGACCAAGGGTCAAAGCCGTGTGCTCTGCGCTGAGTGGCAGAGTCTTAACCACTGGACCACCAAGGAAGTCCCTCTAACGGTTTCTGTTTTACAGAAAAGTCTCAGCTCTTCCACCAACTCGGTCACAGCCCACTGAACAGCGGTGAGGACTGTCGGTGCCTCTGAGTGTCCCCACTGCCAGGACACCAGACCCTCCTGCCCACCCCTGCGGTTCCCCAGAGGCTCTCAGGGACAGGCAGAGAGGAACAGTGATGCATAAGAGCAATTTATACATCTTGAGCCACTTTCTCTGGTTTCTAGAAGTAGAGAAACCCAGCAGAAGTGGGGCAGGGGTCAGTTCAGTTCAGTCGCTCAGTCGTGTCTGACTCTTTATGACCCCATGGACTGCAGCACACCAGGCTTCTCTGTCCATCACCACCTCCCGGAGCTTGCTCAAACTCACATTCGTTCAGTCAGTGATACCATCCAACCATCTCATCTTCTGTTGCCCCGTTCTCCTCCTGCCTTCAATCTTTCCCAGCATCAGGGTCTTTTCCAATGAGTCAGTTCTTCGCATCAGGTGGCCAAAGCATTGGAGTTTCAGCTTCAGCATCAGTCCTTCCCATGAATATTCATTCACTCATTGGAAGGGTAAATATGAACATTGGAAGTGGGGAGGGGTGTCGCAGTCCTATTGTGGAGTCACCCTCCAGGAGGAGAGTCCAGGACCTTTTACCTTCCCTCACCCTTTCACCCAGCTTCTCCCAGGCCAGCCCTGAGGCTGTCCTTGGGCTGGATTTATCCTCTCCTGGGGGAGGGGGAACAGGGAAAACAGAGAATGCTGGTTTGGCTGTTGATGGAATGCTGGCCTGCGTGTCAGGGCCCCAGGGCTGGATCTGCGCATCTGGGTCACCTCAGTGACCAGGCAGGGGCCAGTGCCTGGAAGGCACACCAGAGAACTTTGCAAACTTCTGAGTGAGACAAACCAGTCAGCTGGTCCCAGACCAGGTCCCAGGGAACCAGTTGTTTGAAGCTAAAAATGGAAGCACAATCTTTCAGTCAGTAGTCACCAGCTTCCCTCTGGGGAAACCACAGTCTGCAGCCCTGCAGAACCTGTGACCCTCAAGGGAAAGCCCAGGGACCCGGGCAAAGACTCCCACAAAGGATGTTGTTCCCGGTGCCACACAGATCTGCATTTGCAACTTCAAGCTGCGTCATCGTGACCCTGACAAACCTATAGTTGCAGGAAAGAGAGTGAGGGTGAGACAGGATGGTCACACACCAGGTCACATCTCAGTCCCTGGGAGAGCCAAGTGGCGGTTCTTGGCTTCTTGAAGGAAAGAGTTCAAGAGCGAGCCATAGTAAAGTGAAACAAGGTTTATTCAAGAAAGAAACACACTCCACAGACAGACTGTGTGCCATCTGGAGAGGCAGGAGAGGAAGCAGGATACAGAGTTGTCAGTTTTTACAGGGGTGGGTAATTACACAGGCAAACGAGTGGACATGAGCTTGAGCAAGCTCCGGGAGTTGGTGATGGACAGGGAGACACGGCGTGCTGCAGTCTGACACTCCTGAGCGACTGAACTGAACTGAACTGAATGAGCGGGAGGAGTATTATAGCTATTTTAAGGAAGTGGTGGAGATTTTCAGAAATTGGGCCACCACCCACTTTTTGACATTTATGGTCAATCCTCCTCAGTTCAGTTCAGTTCAGTCATTCTATCGTGTCCGACTCTTTGCAACCCCATGGACTGCAGCACACCAGGCCTCCTTGTCCATCACCAACTCCTGGAGTTTACTCAAACTCATGTCCACTGAGTCGGTGATGCCATCCAACCATCTCATCCTCTGTCGTCCCCTTCTCCTCCTGCCTTCAATCTTTCCCAGGATCAGGGTCATATTCAAGTCACTTGGGATATTATAATGAACTGTATACTGAGACTCAAGATGAAGTGCAAGTTGAGTCTGCCATCATGGACCTAATTGATTCTAATCAATTTAGGTCGTGTCTTCGAGCTAAGTCATCCTTTTAAAGGTTGTGCGCTGTCCCCTTCCTGTCTCACCGTAGCCTCTCTGAGCCACAGTTGTTCTTTTGTCTCCCATGCTGTTTCTCTGCATAGATATTCCTTAACTTGTGTCAGTCGCTCAGTCGTGTCTGACTCTCTGCAACCCCATGGACTGCAGCAGGCTAGGCCTCCCTGTCCATCACCAACTCCTGAAGCTTGTTCAAACTCATGTCCACTGAGTTGGTGATACCAGCCAACCATCTCATCCTTTGTCGTCTCCTTTTCCTTCCACCTTCAATCTCTCCCAGCATCAGGGTCTTTTCCAATGAGTCAGTTCTTAGAATCAGGTGGCCAAAGTACTGGAGCTTCAGCTTCAGTATCAGTCCTTCCAATGAATATTCAAGACTGATTTCCTTTACAATTTACTGGTTTGATCTCCTTGCTGTCCAAGGGACTCTCAAGAGTTTTCTTCAGCACCACAGTTCAGAAGCAACAATTCTTCAGTGCTCAGCCTTCTTTGTGGTCCAAATCTGACATCCATACATGACTACTGGAAAAACCATAGCTTTGACTATATGGAGCTTTTTGGCAAAGTAATGTCTCTGCTTTTTAATACATTGCCTAGATTTGTCATAGCTTTTCTTCCAAGGAGCAAGCGTCTTTTAATTTCATGGCTGCCGACACCATCCGCAGTCATTTTGGAGCCAAAGAAAATAAAGTCTGTCACTGTTTCAATTTTTCCCCATCTATTTGCCATGAAGTGATGGCACTGGATGCCATGATCTTCATGTTTTGAATATTGAATTTTAAGCCAGCTTTTTCACTCTCCTCTTTCATCCTCCTCAAGAGGCTCTTCAGTTCCTCTTCACTGTTTGCCATTAGAGTAGTGTCATCTGCAGATCTTGAGGCTGTTGATATTTTTCCCCAATTGGTTCCAGCTCATGCTTCATCCAGCCGGGTATTTCTCCTGATGTACTCTGCATATAAGTTAAATAAGCAGGGTGAATACACAGCCTTGACATACTCCTTTCTCAGTTTTGAACCAATCTGTTGTTCCATGTTCTGTTCTAACTGTTGCTTCTTGACCTGCATACAGGTTTCTCAGGAGATAGGTAAGGTAGTCTGGTATTCCCATCTCTTAAAGAATTTTCCACAATCTGTTGTGATCCACACAGTCAAATGCTTTAGCATAGTCAATGAAACAGAAGTAGATGTTTTTCTGGAATTCCCTTGCTTTCTCTCTGATCCAGTGGATATTGGCAATTTAATCTCTGGTTCCTCTGCCTTTTCTAAATCCAACTTGTGCATCTGGAAATTCTCAGTTCACTTACTGCTAAAGCCTTCCTTGAAGGATTTTGAACATTACCTTGCCAGCTTGTGAAATGAGTGCAATTGTATGGTAGTTTGAACATTTTTGGGGATTGGAATGAAAACTGTCCTTTTCTAGTCCTGTAGCCACTGCTGAGTTTTCCAAATTTGCTGGAATGCTGAATGCAGCAGTTTAACAGCAACATCTTTTAGGATCTGAAATAGCTCAATTGGAATTCCATCACCTCCACTAGCGTTGTTTGTTGTAATGCTTCCAAAGGAGAACTTGACTTCACACTCCAGGATGTCTGGCTCTAAGTGAATGACCACCATCGTGGTTATCCGGGTCATTAAAACTTTTTTTGTATAGCTCATCTGTGTATTCTTGCCACCTCTTTTTAATCTTTTCTGCTTCTGTTAGGTCCTTACAGTTTCTGTCATTCATCATGCCCATCCTGGCCTGAAATGTTCCTTTGGTATCTCCAATTTTCTTGAAGAGAGCTCTCGTCTTTCCCATTCTATTGTTTTCCTCTATTTCTTTGCATTGTTTCCTTAAGAAGGCTTTCTTGTCTCTCCTGGCTGTTCTCCTGAACCCTACATTCAGCTGGGTATATCTTTCCCTTTCTCCCTTGCCTTTCGCTAGAAAAGATATGCCCAGCTGAATGCAGAGGGGCACATTCCCTCCTCTTCTTTTCTGTTATTTATTTGTAAAGCCGCCTCAGACAAACCCCTTTGTCTTCTTGCATCTCTTTTTCTTTGCGATGGTTTTGGTCACCACGTCCCGTACAGTGTTAGAACCTCTGTCCACAGTTGTTCAGGCACTCTGTCTACCAAATCTAGTCCCTTGAATCTGTTCGCCACTGGCCCTTGTTACGGCCCCCTTCTTTACGAACAGGCTGCCTCCCTTTCAGTTCCTGTGAACGCCCCCTCCCTCACCACCCCTCTGCCTTCGAGCGCCACCATCTCTGCCCTTGGCCTACACTTGGAGATGTCTAAGACAGTCCTCCTGGGACTCCTGGGCTCCCTAGGATGAGCTAGGGTCAGTGCAACCTCTGGAGCAAAGTATGGCTAATTCCGTTCACAGAGGCGGCAGAGATTCCCAGGGATTCCGAGAGCCGCTCACGGTCTCCAGGCCGGCGTGCCAGGCTCAGGGCTCCTAAGTAAGAGTGATGGTCCCAAGCCAGAAAGCAAGAACCACGTCCTTCTGGCTTTCCCTTCCAGTGACTGTTTCAACGCTCTTCTAAAATCAATAAAGTCTTCTCCCCAAATCGGATCCCTGACTTCTCAAGCGCGCGCCGCCCCCATCCCCGAGTTCCTGACCCAAGCTCCTCTCACCGCAGACGGGTCTTCCGCCTTGGAGGCGTGGCCACGCGGCCGGCAGAGTGTGGCGCCTCCGGGGCACCTCTAGGGGGCAGGGGCTGCAGCTGGTGGGCGGGTCGAGGCCGGGTGGGAGGAGCATCCGCCGGTGGGAGGGGCGCTATGCTCCTTTCCCCGCCCCCCTCGAGCCCGCCCGGCCCCGCCCACCGGCTGCGTCCGGCCCCGCCTACCGCGCTGCCTGAGGCGTCCAGGCCAGCCGCGTCCCTGATTTCCGGGCCCAGCTGCGCCCCTCCGTCCGTCCTCACCTCAGGCCGGCCGCAAGGGGTGAGTCTGCAGGCGGCAGAAACAGTTGCGCTCGGTCCGCCGCGCCGCGGGTCCGGCTAGGGCCCGCAGTGGCCGGCGGAAGTGGAGGCGGGCGCGTGGGGGCCCCGGGGCTCCGGGGCTCCCGGGTGCAGGTTACCGGCAGGGGTAGCCGGAGCGCGGGCCGGGATCTGCGTCGGCGGCGCGGCCCACGATCTAGCTGAGCCGACGCGTCAGGTGGAGCCTTTGGAGGAACCGGCGCCCCAAGCCCGGGTGGGGAAGCAGAGGTCTGCAGAGGGAGCGAGAGGGCAGCGGGTTTTGCCAGAGGCCACGAAGTGAGCGGGACCAAAGTCCTGAAGCTCCTGCCTGGGGATCTCGATCTGACTTCGGGCGGACGCAGGAGGGTCCCTCGCTCCCTGTGGTCTGGGCTAAGCCGAGCGCTTTTCAGCCCTCCCCTCGTGTCCGGAGCGGCGCGTACTGCGTCTTGTCCCCCGCACCAAGCCCCCCGATAGCTGAGGAGTACCACCCCACCCCCGCCCCCACCACCAGGCTGTGATGGCCCGGGGAGGAGCCTTGCCCAAGGTTGGCGCCGAGCTGGTGAGAAGTGAACCGCGCTCCCAGGAGAGCTCCGCCTCCCGGAGGAACGCTCGGCTGCCACCCCTGGCCCCTACCGCCAGCCAGGGGGATCGCCGCCGCCCATCTCTGCCCAGCAACCCCCTTCCCCAGGCCGCGTGTGACCCCGCGGTGCCGGCTCCGGGCTGGATTTCCTGCGACCCGGCTGTTTCCCCCAGAATCCTTCTCCAAGTGCTCTGGCCCTAGTCGCTAGGGAGGCGGGCTCATCATGGAAGGTTTCAGGAGGGAGGCCTGCGAGCCAAGGCGGGGGGTGGGGGGGCAAGTCGCCTTTAGGGTCCAGTGCCTTTCTCAAGGCTTTGGCTGAATTCTGGGCCTCTGTCCCCTGGAACTGCCAGATCTGGGCCTGGGGTCCAGCTGGACAGGGCGACGCCTGGACTCCACATTTCCCTTGATGGTGGTGCCCAGGGGAAGGCAGAGCAGCAGGAACAAAAAGGGGGGCGGGGGTCAGTGTCCTGTGGATAAGGAGCATCCCTTTTGCAGGTGTTCCCTGACCCCAGAGACCCAGACTGTGAGCCTGACGCCCCTGAGAGAGGTGGGCCGATTCACCAAGGCCCACTCGGTCTCTGCAGGTGCCCAAGCTCAGATGCCACCCCCAGTGATGCACTGCCCGAGACTGGCCCTGGGCCTGGGATTCTGCCTGCTGTTGGGCATCACCCTCTGCTCTCTGTGGTGAGCATACCCCTTGCAGCCCTCTGTCCCCACCCCAGATTCCTCCCTCTCTCAGTATCTCAACCCCCAAACCTGGACCCCTTCGCGGGATTTCCAGGTCCCACCCTCCTCTCTAGGCACACCTGTCCCTGCCCCCTAGCCCCAGTATGACTGAACCAGTCTGGATTACGGGTTTTCCTTTGCACTGACCTCCTGGCCTCTACACTTAACTCTTGCCTCTGCCTGCACTATTCTTCTAGCCATGTTAATGAGGAACTCCTGTTTATGCTCCAGAATTCACCCCGTGTGTCCTTTCCGCAAAGCTCTGGGGGATCCCCCACACCACCAGTCCCTTGTGGGGCTGGTGTTAAGAACATTCCCGCCCCAGGAGTGAATGGCTGCATAGCTTATAATGACTCATTGCAGAAGGCCAGGAGGCTTTGTCCTCTGAGGCCAGCCAGACCCAAGGACTGATGGGCAGAGGGCAGGGGGGAGGACCCCATGTGCGCCACTGGGGACCCGCATTCCCACTAACATGCACCAGTGTGACTTCTAGGCCTTGGCCTCACAGTGAAGGCAGCACATGTGTCTCCTTCCCAGGGTGTACGCCGAGGACTGGCTGCTGGTCTCCTACGTCCCCTATTATCTCCCTTGCCCAGAGATCTTGTAAGTACGGGGCAGGCAGGATTAGGGCCCCAGAACAGGGAAGATGGGAGGGCTTTTCAGGTCACTCTGTAGGTTCTTAGGTCCTAAACTTGTGATCCTGAGCCACGGATGTGGGAGTTCCCTGTTTCTGTCCTCAGGTATCCTTGCAGGGCCGTCTCCACTGTACGACTTTGAGCGTGTTGCATAGCTCAGAGCCTCACTTGCCATATCTGTAAAATGGGATGATAGAGCTTGGGGTGTGATGATGCCTGTAAATATCCTGGTGCTGCACCTGGTATATAGGAGGTGCTCAAGAAAGAATGCTTTCAGGACTTGACCTTTTTGCTCAATGTTGTCCGCTCTGTGTATTCAAAGGACAAATGCACACATGGCCAGTCTCGCTCAGATAACAGATCTGACATTTGGACAGTTCAGAGTGATAAAGATGATTTGGGACAGTCTCAAGGTAGCATTTGGCCCCGTGGTCTTCTGGTTTTCATGACACCTAAAGGAAGGTTTAAAATCTGGATCATAGACTACTAATTAACAACAGTAAGGTGTGTTTCACTATTATAAACAGAATGTAGTAAATTAGGCAGGACAACAGAAAAGACAAAAGAAAACTAAAACCCTGTTGTGTCCTACTGGCCTGAATCACACTCTTGACTGCATTGTCAGCTTGTTGATTGCTGTACTTTCTATTCAAACAGATTGTTCTGAAAGCAGAAAGTACACTTGCTGTTGAAAATAGTTGTGACCAGAATATTTTTGCAATTCTTATCCTATTTTCCCAGAATTGGCTTTATTTTTCAGCATCTGGTCACCATCATTTTATTCCACCCAGGGGCTGGGCCCTAATTCTTAAACCCTCTCCTTTTCCCACCAGCAGCTGTGGGGCATTTAGGTTGTTTCTAGTTTACCAACATTCTAAATTAGTTCGTAATGAGCAACTTTGGATGTAAAGCTTTCTTCATCTTTTTTTAAAATTAATTAATTTGCCTAGGCTGGGTCTTAGTTGCAGCACTCAGGACCTCCTATGTTCATCTCAACATGTAGGATCTTTAGTTGTGGGTGGTACGTGGGATCTAGTTCCCTGACCAGGGATCGAATCCCAGGTCCCTGCTTTGGGAGTACAGAGTATAAGCCACTGGGCCACCAGGGACGCCCCAGCTTTTTCCATCTTAAAAACCCTTGTATTTGGTACATTCCTGCCAAAGGATATGGCCGGGGCTCCATCCATCCCATCAGGCTGCTCTCCAAGGTGCCTGCTTAGGCGCTCCATCCGCGTCCCACTCTTTGCGACCACATGGACTGTAGCCCGCCAGGCTCCTCTGCCCATGCGATTGCCCAGGCAAGAATACTGGAGTGGGTTGCCATTTCCTCCTCCAGGGGATCTTCCTGACCCTGAGTCAAAGTGATTCAGGCCAATGGGACACGAGGGTTTTTGTTTGGGCCCAGGGGTCCAACCTGCATCTCTTGCGTCTCCTGCGTTGGCAGGCGGGTTCTTTACCACTAGCGCCACGTGACACCACCTGGAAGCTCTCTGGGGGACCGTGGCAAACACACAGATACATCTCCCCACCCTCCACCACCCCTAGCAGCTGCACTGCACCTGGGCTGCAGAAGGTGTCATGAAAAACAAAAACCAAACCACCTTGCTGATTTGAGGGATGGGAAATGCGCTGTGGTTTAAATTTCACTCCTCTGACTTCTGCGCGGCCCTCATCCCCCCACGCCTTCCCATTTGCTCAATTTCCTCTTTTGTGATGCGCCTGCTCCACCACCTGCCCCCCTCGGCCTGTCCTGTTAGTGCGTCCTCTATCACCACCTTTGGCCGAGAGTACTCGCTGCTTTTTTTTTTTAATTATTTGCAGTTTGTCCATCTTCGGGTTCTGAGTTTTTTAAACAGATTAAAGTTGGAGATTTTTTTGTTAGTTTTAAATGGTTACACCTTCCTCTCTGTTCATTTGGATTTCTTCTTTCAATTTTATTACCTTCAGAGGTCTGGAAACGTGAAGTTCCTTTTTTTTGGCTCTGGCTTATCTGCGCCTTTGGTGTTCTTATGTCTGATTCTTTATTATTATTTTTTTTTATGTCTGACTCTTTAATGTGTCCAGAGCGGAGTGTGTCGGGGCTGGTGAGGCAAGGGAGACACTGATGGCCAGGGAAGTGTGGGGCCAGGGCCCCTTCCCCTTCTCATTTCTTTTTTTTAATTTTGTTTTTTATTTTTTTTTCATTTATTTTTATTAGTTGGAGGCTAATTACTTTACACTATTGTAGTGGTTTTTGTCATACGTTGACATGAACCAGCCATGGATTTACAAGTATTCCCCATCCCGATCCCCACTCCCACCTCCCTCTCCACCTGATTCCTCTGGGTCTTCCCAGTGCACCAGGCCCGAGCACTTGTCTCATGCATCCAGCCTGCGCTGGTGATCTGTTTCACCCTAGATAATATACATGTTTCGATGCTGTTCTCTCGAAACATCCCACCCTCGCCTTCTCCCACAGAGTCCAAAATTCTGACCAACTTCTCAGAGTCCCGTCACTTTCTGAGCAGGACTTGAGATGTGCTTGTTTGTGTGAAACTAAGGCAGAGGGCCAAGTTGATGGATCAACTTTAAAAAAATACATCTTCCAGAGTACAAGCTAATCACAGAAGGACAGATACTATAGAGTTTCATTTATAAGAGATCTCTAGTATAGAGACATGGGACTTCCTGGTGGTTCAATAGTTGAGACTTCATACTCCCAGTGCAGGGGGCACAGGTTTGATTCCAAGTCGGGCACTAAAATCCTGCATGCCACATGGCATGGCCAAAATGAATAGAGATCCTATTTTTAAAAAAAGAAGATTTTTTTTACAGAGGCAGAAGTAAACATAATAGTTACCAAGGGTTGGGAGAAGGGATGGAGAGGTAGTATCTCAGGGAGACAGTTTCAGTTTGGGGACAATGAGCAGGTTCTAGAGATGGGTGGAGGTGATGTTTGTACAGCAACGTGAGTGCACCTAATGCCCCGGAACTCTGCGCTTTCAAATGGTTAAAGTGGTAAATGTTTGTCTTGTACATCTTACCACACACACAAAGCGTGGACGGAAACACCAGGACTGCTCCAGGAAGCTTAAGCCAGCCCACCATGGGTGACAGCATGAAGAGACCCAGGTGAACGGCAGGCACCCTTACCCTCAGGTGGCCCGAGCCTCACAGGCAACCTCAGGCCTCCGCTGGGACCGGCTCTGACCAGCTCCCTGGGTCAGAGGGGCAGGCCTGTCCCGTCTCCAGGCCTCACTTCTGCCCTGCAGAGTGACTGTTACTGTCCCCATTTTAAGGGAGAGGGGGCAAAACCCTGAGGAGTGGGATGCCCAGCCTTGGGTCTCTCCGGCCGGAGGCGCCTCACCTGCAGCCTCATCTCTCTGAGCTCCCAGGCTAGAAAGAGGCAGAACTGGGCTCACTTTGCAGCTCCTCAAAGCTTCTCCACGGTGCCCAAGCTCTCCCAGAGCCGAAAAAGACCGTGGGGACAAATGGCACCAGCTTGAATCACCGCCTGCCACACGGGGGCCCTGGATGAATGGCCTCTGTAGGAGCCCAGCCCCCGCACAGCGGGCAGAGCCCTGGAGGAGGGGCCAGGGAGGCTGGCTGGGGGAGGGGGTGCCTGCCCCCTGGGGGTGTTTCATCCCAGCTTCATCCATCCCTGCTGAGCATCTCTACTAACGACACCGACGGCCCTGTCTCACCTCTCCCACCAGCAACATGAAGCTTCAGCACGAGGAGGAGCCGTCCCAGCCCGTGGCACAGTAAGCAGCCTGTCCTTTCGCCCTCTGTGGCCCCAGGGCAGGGGGCTGCCATCCCTTTAACCACTCACCCTTCTTGGTTGCAGGTCACAGTACCCTCAGCCCAAGCTGCTGGAGCAAAAGTAGGTGTTGATTAGGGCCTGGGTGCAGGATGAAAAGACTCGAGGGGGTGGGGATTGGGGACAAAGCTCTGACTTAGAAGCTGGGGTGCTGGAGGGGTCAGCTGACCTCGGGGTTCGGGTACTCTGGGACCTGCGCTCCAGTCCAGGTCTGTCACTAGCTGTGTAATCTTGGGTGAGTTACCCAACTCCTCTGAGCTGCTTCTGTGGATGGTTAGTGATACCCACTCAACAGGGCAGAGGACCAGATGAGATGAGGTTGGCAAAATGCAGAGCAGTGATTGCTGGGCAGTCCTAGTAGTTAGGACTCTGTGCTTTCACTGCCAAGGACCCTGATTCACTCCCTGGTCAAGGAACTAAGATCCTGCAAGCCAGGTGACGCAGCCAAAAATAAAAACAAACCAAAAGAAACTGCAGAGCACCGTGCCTTTCGTGCTCGATCCATTATTAATGATGATAATGATAAGCCCCATCTCCGAGGCCCTTAGCAGACACCAGAAATGCCAGGCTCCTCCAGACACTGGACATGCAGTCACTCCTGGTCCTCTTGCCCTCGCTGGGAAGGAGCTATTGTCATCCCCACTTGAGGACACGGTGGCTCAGAGACAGGGATGAAGCTGCCCAGGGTCCCACAGCATGGGAGGCAGGGCCAAGGTGAGACGGGGGCTTTCCCCAGGGGAGGGTCTCAGCCCCCTCGGCCTCCTCTGCTGCAGGCCCACAGAGCTGCTGACACTCACACCCTGGCTGGCACCCGTCGTCTCCGAGGGAACCTTCAACGCCGAGCTTCTGCATCACATCTACCAGCCGCTGAACCTGACCATCGGGCTCACGGTGTTTGCTGTGGGGAAGTGAGTAGGGGGCTGGGGGTGGGTGGGTGGGGTGGGGTCTGGGGAGAGACAGGACCCTGCCCAGGCACCAGGGAGGCTGTGCCAGGTGGGAAGCCACAGGGCAGAGTGTGATGGTGGGAGGGGGCTTCCTGGAGGAAGAGGGCGGGGAGGGGGAGGCAGCCCCCGTGAGGGAGCAGCAGGAGGCTTTGTCAGGAGACACCTTGCCCCCTCACCCCGTCTGCTTCCCCAGAACCATCCAGGCAGGTGTAAAGGAATGGCAAGCCCCCAGAAATGGAGGGTCCATGGTCAGGCCACAGGCAGGTCAACAGAGAGCTGGCCCTGCCCTGGGGACCCTCCCTCTTCTGCCCCCGGGCCTGCCTGCTCTCTGGGCAGCCCCTGTTTTTCCCCCTCCTCCCTTACCCCACCTGGCCTTTCCTTTCTGGGACTCCTGAGAGAGGGACCCCAGTGAGGGGGCCCCAGTGACTAAAGCACTGCTCAGGTGACGGATGGCCTGCCTGGAGTCGGGGGCTCCCTCTCCCCCAGCCCAGTCAGCACCCAGCACCACTCACTTTGCCTGGATGTGCAGCCATTACCCGATTCTCAGCTACTTTTTTCTCTCTGAGTCTCAGTGTCCTTGTCTGTAAAGCAGGAAGTGTGGTCCCTGCCTTCCCAGGAGTTTGTGAGGCCAGGAGGTAATCCCTTCGAACACTGCCTGGCACTTTTAAATGCTCAGGAAAAGTTAGGGCATGCAGGCTATGAATATCATCAAGTTATCATTATTAGGACGGTCTCTAGAGGTTGGTACTGTGATCAGGGGAACTTGACAGACAAGGGGCAGACCTGAGTGACTGCTTGAGATGGGAAGCTGGGAGGGGGACCCCAGCCTAGCCCTGGGCCCCAGGGGTGTGCCCGCACAGAGCAGGGGCCAGGCAGTGGCTCTGTGGAGGCCATGGTGCATGACGGGATCCTACCAGCAGGTACACCCGGTTCGTCCAGCACTTCCTGGAGTCGGCCGAGCGGTTCTTCATGCGGGGGTACCGCGTGCACTACTACATCTTCACTCACGACCCCCAGGCCATTCCTCAGGTCCCGCTGGGCCCCGGCCGCCACCTCAGCATCATCCCGGTCCCCGGGCCCTCCCAGTGGGAGGAGGCCTCCATGCACCGGATGGAGGTCATCAGCATGCACATCGCCAAGAGGGCGCACCGGGAGGTGGACTACCTCTTCTGCCTGAACGTGGACACGGAGTTCCGGAACCCGTGGGGCCCCGAGACCCTGGGGGACCTGGTGGCCGCCATCCACCCGGGCTACTTCACCGTACCCCGCCACCAGTTCCCCTACGAGCGCCGGCCCGTCTCCACCGCCTTCGTGGCCGACGGCGAGGGGGACTTCTACTATGGCGGGGCGGTCTTCGGGGGGCGGGTGGCCAGGGTGTATGAGTTCACCAGGGGCTGCCACATGGGCATCCTGGCGGACAAGGCCAACGGCATCCTGGCAGCCGGGCAGGAGGAGAGCCACCTGAACCGCCGCTTCCTCTCACACAAGCCCTCCAAGGTGCTGTCCCCCGAGTACCTCTGGGACGACAGGCAGCCCCAGCCCCCCAGCCTGAAGCTGATCCGCTTCTCCACCCTGAACAAGGACACCGCCTGGCTGCATAGCTGACGGCGGAGGCGGGGCCGCCGCGGACGGGGGATCCCCGGCGAGCGCCCGGCTCACTGGAGCCGCCGGGCACCGGGGCCTCACTCCTCAAGCCTTACGTGGGACCAGCCTTGTGCCGTCTAACCTCCACCTCTGCCGGCAGAATCCAGCGGGAAGACGGGCCTGGAAGGGCCTCTGTCCACTGCAAAGAGCGGTGTCCGCGTGGAGGAGAACACCAAGATCACACCATCCGAGGCCTGAGGAAGGGAGGCCAGAGGTGGAAGAAGACAGGGCCTGCAGGCCTTCGCCAGCCCACGAGCCTTCGGGGCAGCCCCACCCAGCGCCCCAAGTGCCCTCTCTGCCACCCACCCCTTCGTTGCCTGCTGCCCTTGAAGTTGTACTTCTAGCACTTGTAGGAAAGGCATCCTCACCCCTTTTTCTCTGGCTGCAGGGGTCCCTGCTGTGTGCCCCCAGCCTCTGGAGCCAGTTTTTTACTCAGGACCCGGAGGGAGCCTTCCAGGCTGCCTGGTTTCATGTCCCTGCCTCACTCGAGGTGGACGGTCCCCAGCACCAAGCACCTCTTCTGTCAGAGGGTTTGGGCAGTTTTTAATAAAAGTAGCGCGTGCTAGGCCCTAACCGGGCTTTTTTCACCTGCACCTCTTGACTATCTGGGCTGCCAGGCCCCTAGGGATGCAGGCAGCCTGGATTGCAAGTAGTCAGCTTGGATGGGAGGGTGTGGGTACAGTTTTCTAGAAAGCCTGGGCTGCTGCTGGCCACTGCCACAGGCAGGATTTCATCCCAGTTCTCCTGGGAGATGGGTGAAGTGAAAACATGACCGGCTATGCATCTGTCCTGAGTCGGTGGGAGCAGAACCGCTGCCCCCCAGCTGGATGCCCTGTGGGCTCCTGGTCCCTGCGTGCAGAGCACACGCATCTGCTGCATCTGCCATCAGCCTCAGCCCGGGGGACTCTTGGTGGGCACGGACACTAAGGCCACAAGGCAAGCCCAGGATTAGAGGGGCTTCAGAGCCCTGGGGTGGTCCCATCTGCCTGGTGGGACAGAAGTGGGGGGCAGGGGGCCCAGCATGCACTCCCCTGGGGGCAGCAGCATCCTTGCCACATAAGGTAGAGGGCAGGGGGTGTGGTCTGTGGCCAAGTCAGGAGGAGCAGGAACCCACCCACCTGGGCACCCTGGGCAAAGCTGGGGCCAGCCCCAAGCCTACTCTTCCTGCAGCCTGTGCTTGGGTGGCAAGCCAGGACAGACTGCGAGAGCGCGGGCAGCCTGAGTGACCACGTGGGGAGATAGCCTGAGCCAGGAAGAGGCCCTGGGGTGCTCCCCGGGCAGAGGGACAAGGGTGAATCCGTGGCCCATGTGTCCGCACTTTCCCAGGGTGCCCAGCCCTGCCCCGGGGCGTGTATGGAGCTGGCGGTGTTGAAGGTGCAGGCCCTGCCTTCACCGAGCTTCTGTGCTGGACCAGGGAGAAGGCCCTTGACATGGAGACCAGAGGAGAAGGAGGTGGCCCTGAGCCCAGGCAGCATCGCAGGAAAGAAATGAACCCTTGCTCGCTCCAGCCCAGCTCTGGGTCCTGCTGATGGGCCCTTCTCAGCCTCGGCCCAAGCCACCAGCCACTATGGCTGCCCCAGACCACATCCCAGGCATGGCCCTCCGACACAGTTGAGTGAGCGACTACCCAACTCCTAGACCTAAAACAGGGTCCAGGCTACTTTCCCAGAGAGCTGAGGGCTTGGGGCCAGAGCTGATCTGTGGGTAGGAAGAAGTACGGGGCCTGGCAGGAGTGGGAGGGGTGGCGGGAGATAGGCCTGACCCAGCAGAGAGAGGGGGAGTACCAGAGATAGAAATCGACAGAATAACAAATGCAAAATGTCTGCGGTGTCCCCTGCAATGGAGGCCCCTGAAATGTAAGCTTCCTGTCTCCTCATGACCAACTACCTCCTCCCCACGCCTTACAGTCCAACATCACTGCTCTGCCCCAGGGCCAGGACCAGCATACCTTTGTTCACGCTGCCTACTGGTCAGCCCTCCCTGTCCAGTCACCTGGCCCAATTCCAGGAACATAGTCATGACATCACCTCCTCCAGGAAGCCTGCCTTGATTTGTTCCCCCTTCCTTCCAGAGTGGGTGCCTTTTGGTGGTCCCATAAATCCTCATCCCTATGTCACCCGTTACAATGTTCTGCCCATCTCCACCCCTTTCCCAGTTGGTAAACCCCAAGAGGATACGGGTGGTGGTCAACCAGGTTTACCCCGGTACCTGAAACCCAGGAGGCATTCTTTGAATGTTTGTTGAATGACTGCATGAATGGGAGGCAGTTGAGAAAACACGGGTTTTAGTCTGTCCTAGCACACATGAGATGCTGGGCAGGCCATTCCACCATCCTGAGGCCCTGGGGTGACGATCAAATGGGACTATGGCTGGGAGCCCTCTGGGTACTGCCTTCTAGGCAGGCACTTGGAGAAGAAGCTGGGCAACATGCTCAGCCCTGGGAGGAGGCAGACAACCACCACAGCCCGCTCGGTGCAGAGGAGGGGCAGATACCGTCCCCTGTGGTATCACAGAGGTGCACGCTTGAGTGGTGGGGTAAATAACACCCCCGCTAAGCTCCTCCCAGCTGAGGTGCTGTGGCTCTGACAAAATCACCCGGAAACCGTGTGCCCTGCGACCCCAGCCTGTGGTGACCCCCGACTTCTTGCCCCGCACTCAGAGCCCAGTGCGGTCTGGTCCAGACACCCTTCCCAGGGAGCACCCCTCACCCCTCCATCCCAGCCTCCCACAGCCTTGCTCCCCCAGGGACCCCACACGCCCTCTGCCTCAGAGCCCCTGCCTGCAGCATCCCTCCCCACAGCCCCCCATGCCGGGCTGAGAGGCCACCTCCGCAGGCTCCAGTGGAAGCACAGCCGTTGGGGCAAGAATGGCCTGGGCTCGAACCCACGGCGGGGCCACCTCACGGCCCTGTGACAGGCCAGCTTGTGTGGTGACTCTCAGGCCTCAGCCTCCTCCACTGAAGATGGGGTCAGTGACTCTGCCCTTGGGAGGGAGGGCTGGGGATTAAAGCAGGCAGAGGAAGACACCCAGAGGATTGGGCTCACACGTGAGCCGGCTGGGAGAGCCCAACCCAGGACGAGGCCTCTGACGGTCAGCGCCAAGGGCTGAGCGAAGGTGAAGGGGAATGATTCTGAGTCATCTGTTCACAGCTGGCCTTGCTCACTTACAGCTGAGTGACCTTGAGAGCTGAGGTCACTGTTCATAAATTAGAAGGGGCAAAATCCTTGAGCACCCAGGAGCATGCTTAGTCACACTAACGTCCCCTGACAGGCGTTCAGCCCAGGTGGGCCCCCCCTTCTCCCTGGGCTCCTCCAGCCCCCCATTCACCAACCAGGGCTGCAGCTGGGGAAAGGCTGGACCTCGTGTCTGGAAGTCCTGCCAGGGAGACAAGGGAGTGTGTGTGGCGGGGGGTGGGGGTTGGGAGGGGGCGTGATCTCCTTTTCCGTACTCCGCCTCCAGGACTGCCCATCCCGGCCATGCATCGAGCTGGCCCGGACACGAGATGCAGGACAGAAGGATGGGGGCGCACAATCCGTGACTCCCACATCTCCAGGCCTACACGACCACGCAGCCCAGCTGCCCCGCCCGGTGGGGTTTGGGGTCGACCGAGGCGCTAGAGGGCACAGGAGGAACGCAGCAAGCGTCGGGGGCTGGGGGACGCGCCAGGTCCACAGCGCGCGCCCGCGGCCAGGCGGGGCTGCGTGCACGCGCCGCCCGCGGGCCCGCGCAGGCCCCGGGTGTGCGCGCGCGCGCGGCCGCAGGCTCACGGCCAGCCTGCCCCTGCCGGCGTCCACCCCCACGGTCCGCCCGCTGGAGGCCGCTGCGCGCGGCGGGGCCCGCCCCTCACACCTGCGGCGGGCGGGGGGGCGGGACGAGCGGAGGCGGGGCCGCGGCGGGGCCCGCCCACCCGGCCGGAGCCCGGGAGCCCGGGCGCAACCGAGCGGCGCGGCCCGAGAGGCCGGTGGCGCGGCGCGGGCGCAGACAATGGGAGCGGCGCGAGCGCCGGCGCCGGCGGAGCCCTGGGCCCGGCGGGGACGGGAGGCCGCGCCATGAGCCCCGCAGCCGGGCGCCCCCCTGCGCCACGCGCGGGCCGAGGCGAGCGGCCTCTGCTAGCCCGGGGCCCCGCCCTGGGGCCGGCGATGTGCTGCCGGGGCTGAGAATGATGGTAGATTGCCAGGTGAGTGCCCCGCCCGGCCGCGATCGCCCTCCCAGTCGTCGGGGTGGAGGGAGGACCGCCTGCCCCTACCCCGCCCACCCCCGACCCAGCCGTGGGGGGAGAGTCCACGCAGAGCGCGCGCGTACGCAGTTCCGTGTCCAGCCCCTCCTGGTACGATTGGGAAACTGAGGCCAGGAGAGGTACAGGGCCTGGCCCGAGGCCCACGGCGGGGGGCTGGGCGGGGGTGGGCAGACTCCAGAAGAGGAGGAAAGATTCCAGCCTCCTAGTTCAGGGCTCAGCCACTCCCATGGGGTTTCCCTGGGGAAGGAGAGCCCCTGACGTCCTGGGGGGACCCTTGTCCATCCCCTCCCCCTCCCACGAGGAGCCCTTTCCTCTCGGCCTCCCAACGTGCCCACAGGCGCACACACACTGACCTCACAGGTGGAGACCAGGGTGTACAGTCAGGGGAGCAGTGGACACGGAGATGACAAGGGGGAAAGAAGAAAGCTGTAGGAGGCAGCTCCGCATGGGTCAGGACCATCCGGTCTCCTGGCAACAGGCTCAGGGCCCCAGGCTGAGGGACAGAGATGCCAGGCGGGTGGGCAGGTTCCCGGGGGTCGACCTGGGCAGGGACCATCTCCAGAGCGGCCTGGAGAGGACAGTTTCTGGGGTCCTGCATCCACTATCCTGGGCGCCTGGAACTACCATGAGATTCACCCCTAGTGAAGAGGAAACTACAGGAGAGAAGTCCTCAGTTGACTCCACTGTAATTTAGGAGTGGCTAAATCACCCCATGGCTGGGGTG